AAAATACCAGACCCCAGTGTTTGCAGAAAGTGATTTATTTAGGTAGACAAAGAAAAAGGAGAGGAAGAGAGAAAGCTGCCACCAGAGAGTGTGTGTGTGGAAGGGGACCCCAGAGGGGAAATTCAGGAGAGAGAAACACAGCTTCCACACTGGGTAGAAGGGGACCCCAGAGGGGAAATTCGCCCGGATGAGGGAAACAGACTTTTAGCCTGGGGGGAATTCCCATCTTCTCCAAGTTCCCTGGCTAAAGAAAAGCGTTCCCTTAAACTTCCACTGGAGTGATTGACTTTTGACCATTTCCCGTGCCCACGAAAATTAAAACAGAAACTATTAAATCTCCCAGATCCAGAGGTATGGGAGGAGGGTATGGCACTGGGAAGTTTTTGCCCTTAAAACTATGCCCCCTTGTGGACGTGGAAAGAGAACACCTTCCCTCATTCTCCCCTCTGAACGGGAAAGTTTAACTTCTGTTGGAACACGGGCGTTTATTGCTTTTTAACTACTTCCTACTGAAAGGGGGTGTACAAGGGGTCCTGCAGTTGAGGTTTCCCCCAGAGGGGAGCCTTTCAGGGTGCAGGTTGATCCTGAGGTCCATGACAGAGTCCACAAGCCAAGGACATCCGGGGATCCAGTGGCAGGATTATTTGCGACCTTATGGTTTTAGAAGAAACGAATGTGACAAGGTGGTTAGAGATGAGATGCCCACAGGTCAACAAATATAGAATGGTTATAAAGGAGCCTAGGAGAGAACAGAGCCAGGACAGTTAGATGTTAAACAAGCTTCACAACACTGTTTCTTGAAGGTCTTTAGCCCTGTGTCTGATTGATTCCTGAGTTCTTTAACTTTGATTAAAATAACACTTAACTAGTTTACAAAACAGCAGCATTTTTCCTAGAAAAAGACGGGTTCCCTTTCCACTATGAAAAGGATCATCGGAGTTTGAGATTTACTTTGGTCAGGCCCACTTCTCCTTCTACTACCTGTAGGGGGCAGAGTTGGGGCATTTTGGTAGCCTGAGAAGCCCTGGCCGTTTTGGCCCTTTCTGGCTCCTGCTGGGGTACGGAGCTGAGGAGCCCTGGTTGGCACTGGTGGAGGTAGTTGCCACAGGGAGTTCCACATATGGACGTAGTTCTGAGGAGGTCTGAGTAGGGTATAGGGTACAAGCCTGACAGAGCTGAGGCTTATTCCTTAGGGAAAATAAAATTTCACACCGTTTACCCTTACTTTTACAATACAGGTCTAATTGTAGAATAGTGGCATAATTTATACTTCCTTTTGGAGACCAGAGTTTTCCACTTGGTAGAGGGTAATTTGGCCACACTGTTTGGCAGCAGAAGATAAGCTGCTTCTTTTTTAAAGGTTTGTGTTAAATTGGTCCCAATTTTCCAGTATACACTTTAATGGGGATTTATTTGATTTTGGGAAGATTGGCACCCATCTGAAATTGAACACAAGGAATGCCAGCATTCCTGGTTAATAATTACAGCCACTCGACCTGAGGCATTCCTCAGGTAAGATACTGGTAATGGAGCATTTTCCAGTTAGTATCTTGAAATTTTGGTGCCCAAGATGCGTGATCATTTTTTTCGGGGGGCCTCCCATGTAGTGGATTTGAATTACGCCTACCAACATCACAGGACACTGTCGCTTACTGTTTGCATGCCTTCAGTGACCACTATGGAGGCATGAAGGGCTGCTGGGTTAAGTGGTTTGTACCAACGAGTCCTTGACAAGGCCAGTGAGGCTTAGGAGATGGGTACCAGTATTTCCCAGCAAAAGCCCAATTTACATGGCCAGATTATAAAATTGCCCCAGAAGGGTAAACTTCTAGTCAGGGACCATTAGAGCACACCATTTAAAGAAGGCAGGTCACATGGCTGACGCTGGAACAATACACTTAGGACCCAGCCTCCTTTTTCAACCCATTTTCTATTGTAGGAAAATGCCCTTAGGGATGTGAGGCCTGCCATTGACTATCTGGGAACAGCAACAGGTTTAACTATGATCTTCTAGATGGGAAAATTCTGCCATAGAGAAAGAGCCAATCCTAAGCAAGACAAATTATACATCAAACAGAAAGTCCCATCGCCTTTAGCTTCTGAATTTTCCAAAAGGTCTCCCCAATTTAAGACTGGCTCCACTAGGGATTTGAACCAGCAACTTTGCAGTTGCCTTCACCTTAACCAACTGTGCTAACAGGCCACTTGTTAGGAAAATTCAGAAAGCTTTCATAGGGTCTGAACCAGCAACCTTGCAGTTGCAGGGCCTACAGGATAACCAAATGTGCTAATAGGCCACTCGTGTTCAGGCAAAGGTTTTTTTTTTTTTTTTGGGGGGGGGGGGGACGGAGTTTCGCTCTTGTTACCGAGGCTGGAGTGCAATGGTGCGATCTCGGCTCACCGCAACCTCTGCCTCCTGGGTTCAGGCAATTCACCTGCCTCAGCCTCCTACGTAGCTGGGATTACAGGCACACGCCACCATGCCCAGCCGATTTTTTGTATCTTTAGGAGAGACGGGGTTTCACCACGTTGACCAGGATGATCTCGATATCTTGACCTCGTGATCCACCCGCCTCGGCCTCCCAAAGTGCTGGGATTACAGGCGTGAGCCACCTCCCGGCCTGCAGAAAGCTTTCTTAATCCATATCTAAATGAGAATGCTGCACCTAGGTGGTGTGGCCACCTGAAAGATGGGCGGGGCTGACAGCCAGCAGCAGCCTTTCCTTTCCCAGCCTACGCAAGCTGAGAGAAAAAAACCACTTGCTGCTGTGAGTTTAAAAGCCGCATTTGCAGCTGCCGTTGGGCGGGCTGTGAGTTCCAGGAACTGTGCCCCGCCCCCGTGGCTTTTGTTCCCACACGTAGATACCGCCAGAACCATGTGCGCACTTGGGCCACTCTTTGAGGCGCTGCCCACACAGGGAACTGGGGCCGGCAGGCAAACACCCTGGGGAGCCTTTTTAAAGTCCTGCCTATGACCGGAGATGCCAGAGAGGCCTGCCAGAACCCTGCGCCATGCCGCCGTGCTTCCCAGTCCCATGCTGGCTGCAGTTTTACACAGGCTCGGGCTACACCCCGCCCCTCCCCTGCTGTTTTTCTCCAGCCCAATTGCGGCTTGCTGCACAAGCCTGGGCCTAGCCTCCAGGGCTGGGCTGCGGGCAGTCCCAGTTCCCAGCCAGCAAGGGGCGGAAAAGCCCAGGGGGAGTGCTTGCCCAATCTGCTCCACAGGCTTCCACAGGTTTTTGTCCCAGAGATAATAGCTGAAGGATAGAGAAAGAGAGGGAAAGCAGATAGAGAGCTTGGAGGAAAAAACCGCATTTTTTTTTTTTTTTTTTTTGAGAAAGTCTCATTCCGTCACCAGGCGCCAGGCTGTAGTGCAGTGGTGCGACCTTGGCTCACTGCAACCTCTGCCTCCTGGGTTCAAGCAATTCTCCTGCTTCAGCCTCCCGAGTAGTTGGGACTACAGGCGCATGCCACCATGCCCAGCTAATTTTTTTGTATTTTTAGTAAAGACGGGGTTTCACCATGTTGGCCAGGATGGTCTTGATCTCTTGACCTCGTGATCCACCCGCCTCAGCCTCCCAAAGTGCTTGGATTACAGGCGTGAGCCACTGCGCCCGGCCAAAACTGCACCCTTTTTTTTTTTTTTTTTTTTTGAGACGGAGTTTTGCTCTTATTACCCAGGCTGGAGTGCAATGGTGCAATCTCGGCTCACCGCAACCTCTGCCTCCTGGGTTCAGGCAATTCTCCTGCCTCAGCCTCCTGAGTAGCTGGGATTACAGGCACGCGCCACCATGCCCAGCTAATTTTTTTTGTATTTTTAGTAGAGACGGGGTTTCACCATGTTGACCAGGATGGTCTCGATTTCTTGACCTCGTGATCCACCCACCTCAGCCTCCCAAAGTGTTAGGATTACAGGCGTGAGCCACTGCGCCTGGCCAAAACTGCACTTTTTTTTTTTTTTCTCTGAGACGGAGTTTCGCTATTACCCAGGCTGGAGTGCAATGGCGAAATCTCGGCTCACCGCAACCTCTGCCTCCTGGGTTCAGGCAATTCTCCTGCCTCAGCCTCCTGAGTAGCTGGGATCACAGGCACGCGCCACCATGCCCAGCTAATTTTTTTTGTATTTTAGTAGAGACGGGGTTTCACCATGTTGACCAGGATGGTCTCGATTTCTTGACCTCGTGATCCACCCACCTCAGCCTCCCAAAGTGTTAGGATTACAGGCGTGAGCCACTGCGCCTGGCCAAAACTGCACTTTTTTTTTTTTTTCTCTGAGACGGAGTTTCGCTATTACCCAGGCTGGAGTGCAATGGCGAAATCTCGGCTCACCGCAACCTCTGCCTCCTGGGTTCAGGCAATTCTCCTGCCTCAGCCTCCTGAGTAGCTGGGATCACAGGCACGCGCCACCATGCCCAGCTAATTTTTTTTGTATTTTTAGTAGAGACGGGGTTTCACCATGTTGACCAGGATGGTCTCGATTTCTTGACCTCGTGATCCACCCACCTCAGCCTCCCAAAGTGTTAGGATTACAGGCGTGAGCCACTGCGCCTGGCCAAAACTGCACTTTTTTTTTTTTTCTCTGAGACGGAGTTTCGCTATTACCCAGGCTGGAGTGCAATGGCGAAATCTCGGCTCACCGCAACCTCCGCCTCCTGGGTTCAGGCAATTCTCCTGCCTCAGCCTCCTGAGTAGCTGGGATTACAGGCACGCGCCACCATGCCCAGCTAATTTTTTTTGTATTTTTAGTAGAGACGGGGTTTCACCATGTTGACCAGGATGGTCTAGATATCGTGACCTTGTGATCCACCCACCTCGGCCTCCCAAAGTGCTGGGATTACAGGGGTGAGCCACAGCGCCTGGCCCAAAACTGCACTTTTAATTCTGGCTGGCCCACGCCACTTAAGATGGGCTACTCCAGTACTCTTAAAGAGATAGGACAGATCACGCCTATCTCTTTAAAAAAAAAAAAAAGAGGACAGAATGGGGCTAGTTTTACTTACGATTTGAAGTCGTCTTCTCCTGGCTGGCTCACCAAATGGGGTTTTGGGGTTCAGGGGAACACTTAGACCTCTCCCCAGTGGGCTCCAGGCTCTTGGTTTCTTGCTTTCTTAAGAATGAGAGAAGGGACAATGCAGGTGCCCTTGTAAAATATTGGACCCCAAACAGTGTTTGCAGAAAGTGATTTATTTAGGTAGAGAAAGAGAAAAAGGAGAGGAAGAGAGAAAGCTTCCACCAGAGAGACTGTGTAGAAGGGGATCCCAGAGGGGAAATTCGCCCGGATGAGGGAAACAGGGACTTTTAACCTGGGTGGAATTCCCACCTCCTCCAAGTTCCCTGGCTAATGAAAAGCGTTCCCTTAAACTTCCGCTGGAATGATTGACTTTTGACTGTTTCCCGCGCCCGCGAAAATTAAAACAGAAACTGTTAAATCTCCCGGATGTAGAGACATGGGAGGGTGGCATGGCGCTGGGAAGTTTTTGCCTTTAAAACTATGCCCCCTTGTGGACCCGAAAAGAGCACCCCTTCCCTCATGACCATGGGCTATTTGGAGTGAGTCTGAGAAAGAACTGGGGATTACTGTAAAGCATCCTGGATACCTAATTTAAGGTACAGAATGCCATGAGCAGACCCTCTTTAGAAGTATAATCAGAGCCTCCTATGTAACAATACATAAATCAGGTCTCTGCCTTTTCTTAACAAGTAATACCTTTTTCATGCTGACATTTGATGACTAGAACATATCATCCAATTTTTCACTGATTTACATTGAACATCTAAACTCAAGGAACCCAGTCTTGACTTGACTGCTGTCTAGTTCTTGCTAAAATCCCAACTAAGTGGTACTGGCAGAAGAATTGACAGACACTGATAGAACTGATTACATTTCACAGACACAGAATTAAGTCTAAATAAAAATTGAGTGGGTGGTAAAGAAAACAGCATAATGTAGCGAGAAAAAAAATGGAGGAACAATTCAAATAATTTTGAGATAATCGTTCACATGGCAAAAGACTCAAGATAGATATTCAAACTATATACCCAAATACATTCTAGATAAACAAACCCCCTCCAAGCATAGAAATGAATATATAGATGAATTATTAATCTCTTGGTATAAGTTTTAAACAAATTTTAAAACATAAAAGTAGTCAAAGAATTTGCAAAGGAAAAGAAAGATTTGATGACCTAAACATGTAATACTTTTGTATGCCAAAAAATTTTTAAGGAAATAACAAACTGGTAAAAACAAAACATAACAAACTTCCTCAAACGGTAATTATGTCAATATATTTAATTTTAAAAATGCTCCCAATAACTTAAGACAAAATATATCCATTATCTAATAAAAAATCAGGAACAAAATGGAATTCATACACTCAAATGACTCCAAACACACTTAGAATGACTAAATTAAAATAGTTCTTTAGGCTTTTATCTCAATGATATCAAGCTGTTCATGCCTTGGGTGATGACATAAATTACTGGCCAAATGAGGATACTTTTGAATGAAAAAGAGTACTATTCATAATTATGCAGTGACAATATGAATAAAGACCAGGTACGCCAGGCAAACTGGGATGCATTGGTCATCCCACCCCTGTCTCAAGAAGCTATCAAAGAGAAGCACAAAATCAGAGTCTGAAACATGCCCTCAGGCAAAAATCAGTTTTAGTGTTCATTTATGTTTCCGGATTCCCAGTTTCACTCCCTTTTTTTCTTCTAAACATGTCCCTTAGTTTTCTAGTGAGTTCAATGATGTAATTAAAATGTTTTTAAAAATAGTTTATCAAGCATTTTTAGTTGTTTTACATGGGAGGATAGCTCAGGGTAACTAGTTTCCCACTCTGCTATAAATAGAGATCCTTATTGCCATCTTTTAATGTGTATAAACATGCAAACATACACATAAAGAGAAATGCAATTTTAAAAAGTCTGGAAAGAGGGCCAGGCATGGTGGCTCACACCTATAATCCCAGCACTTTGGGAGACTGAGGCGGGTGGATCACCAGATCAAGAGATTGAGACCATCTTGGTCAACATGGTGAAATCCCATCTCTACTGAAAATACAAAAATTAGCTGGACATGGTGGTGCGAGCCTGTAGACCTAGCTACTCAGGAGACTGAGACAGGGGACTGGCTTGAACCCAGGAGGCAGAGGTTGCGGTGAGCCGAGATTGCACCATTGCACTCCAGCCTGGGTAACAAGAGCGAAACTCGGTCTGAAAAAAAAAACAACAAAAGAAAGTCTGGAAAGAAATATTAAATGTTAAGAGTCACAATTGATAGGAAGCAGAAATATGCATGACATGTTTTTTTCATCAAAATTTCTCTATATATCCCAATGCTTTACAGTGAGTTGTATTACTTTTGCATAAGAGAAAAAAAGCTGAGATGATTGATATTTGAGGAAATCAATCTAAGAAATAAGCTAATCTTCCATGAGTTGAGAATCAGCAAGCTCTATTCTGTTTTTGTTGTTTTTTTAAATTGTACTTCAGGTTCTAGGGTACATGTGCAGATCATGCAGGACTGTTGTAATAGGTACACACATGGCAATGTGGTTTGCTGCTTCCAACTCCCCATCACCTTCAACTGGCATTTCTCTCCATGTCCCTCCCTTGGCCCCCCTCAACAGACCCCATTGTGCGATGCTCCCCTCCCGGTGTCCATGTGTTCTCATTGTTCACCACCCACCTATAAGTGAGAATATGCAGTGTTTTATTTTCTGTTCTTGTGTCAGCTTGCTGAGAATTATGGTTTCCAGATTCATCCATGTCCCTACAAAGGACACAAACTCATCATCTTTTATGGCTGCATAGTATTCCATGATGTGGAATACTAAGGAAATATGTGCCACATTTTCCTTGTCCAGTCTATCATCAATGGGCATTTGGGTTGGTTCCAGGTCTTTGCTATTGTAAACAGTACTGCTATGAACATAATTGTGCATGTGTCTTTATAATAGAATGATTTATAATCCTTTGGGTATATACCCAGATTTTTTAATGATCGCCAGTCTAACTGGCGTGAGGTGGTATCTCAATGTGATTTAGATTTGCATTTCTCTAATAATCAGTGATGAGCATTTTTTCATATGTCTCTTAGCCTCATATGTCTTCATTTGAAAAGTGTCTGTTCATATCCTTCACCCACTTCTGGGTGTTTTTTTTTTTTTTCTTGTAAATCTGTTTTAGTACTTTGTAGATTCTGGATATTAGCCCTTTATCAGATGGGTAGATTGCAAAATTTTTTTCCCATTCTGTTGGTTGCTGGTTCAATTAGGTCCCATTTGTCTATTTTGGCTTTTGTTGCCAGTGCTTTTGGTGTTTTAGTCATGAAGTCCAGCAGGCTCTATTCTTAAATAAAATCATGTAATCAAGAGCTCTATGTCTTAATTATTGTATTTTACTTCCTTTTAGAAACATATTCATTATATTATTTCTAACCATTTTGCCCTAATTTTTTTAAATCAAGGACCAGTATATCAGAAACAATCATTTGAAGAACATCTCAGAATGTCCTGTAAAACTGATGGAAAACACTACCCAACTGCTGTTCACTGCCTTCTATACAAGTATTCTTTTCTCCAATGTCTCTTACAGAAACCAATGAAAATTCACGTTCCATAACCAATTGGCATGGGCATGGTCCATTTTAATCACTTACGGTTATAAAATACTTTTTGTCTAGCTGTCAATATCCTCGGTATAAAGTGGGGATAATAATCTATTTAACAGGTTTACTATGGCAATGACATGGTGTAACATTTCCAAAGCACCTATATGGTGCCCTTCTTTCCTGTCACCACCACTTTTGTGCATTAACAGATAAATGTAGCCCTCAATTTTATGTGATTTGTATTTGTTTTGATTCTTTATTTTTCCCCCATTTTAAATGTAGCTGAGTTTTTCTCTGTAAGGCCAAATTCTTTTGGAAAGTAGGTAAACACAACCAACTCACTACAACCTCCACCTCCCAGGTTCAACCACTGAAATTAACTAAGTTTACTGAAGAAGCTATATATTTCAGAAGGTCTGTTCATCCTCATTGTTGCCACCACTAGGGGCTCAGCTTTTTTTTTTTTTTTTTTTTTTTTTTTTTTTGAGACGGCGTCTTGCTCTGTCACCCAGGCTAGAGTGCAGAGGTGCGATTTCAGCTCACAGCAACTTCTGCCTCCTTGGTTCAAGCAAGCAATTCTCCTGTCTCAGCCTCCTGAGTAACTGGGGTTACAGGCATGTGCCACCACACCCAGCTAATTTTTGTATTTTTAGTAGATACAGGGTTTCATTATATTGGTCAGGCTGGTCTCGAACTCCTGACCTTGGGTGATACACCCACCTTGGCCTCCCAAAGTGTTCAGACTACAGGCATGAGCTACCATGCCTAGCCCCAGCTATCTTTAAAAAATACCAGTGATTTCTTTAACAACATTTACTGGCTGAGCAAATGTTTAACACCTGCTATGTGCCAGGTGCTGTTCTAAACCCAGCAGATACAGCACTGATTAAAGTAGACAAGGTACTTGTGCTCTTGCAGGTCATTTTTGTGTATATGTTTTTAGAGGGTATGTGATGGTGAAGAGACTGACAAGCAAGTCAGTTATAAATTATGATACATAATACTTTGATTGAAATATTCAGGATAGGCCGGGCATGGTGCCTCACACCTGTAATCCCAGCACTTTGGGATGCTGAGGCAGGCAGATCACCTGAGGTCAGGAGTTTGAGACCAGCCTGACCAACATGGAGAAACCCTGTCTCTATTAAAAAAAAAAAAAGCAAGAAAGAAATATGCAGGATCGTGTGATTTAGAATGACTGGATGGTAATTTAAGGAGAGTACTAGGGTTATGCAGATGATATCTGAGTTAATTTTACCTAACATGTTTTGAGTACCTACTAGTGTTAGGCATATTTTTAAGCACTTCACATGCAGTAACTTAATCTTATAACATCCCTACAAAGGGTTATCATTATCCATATATTATATATGAGGAAATTGAGGCACCAAGAAATTAAGTAACCTGACAAAGTTAGGAGGTAGAGATAGGATTCAAATGCAGGTATTTTTATTCTGCAATCTGGTGTGCTCTACCACCATCAGAGGCATTTGAACCAGAGTGACTTCATTTTGAATAAGGGTTAGGTAAAATAAGCCTTAGACCTACTGGGCTGCATTCCCAGGAAGTTAGGCATTCTTAGTCACTGAACAAGATAGGAGGTCTGGACAAGATACAGGTCACAATTGTGTGTG